AGGGTTGAGCTCACAATGCATACGTAAGACTTGGGTACATAAGACAACGTGACCGTGCTGTGTCGCCAGGACAACCATCTGGTACTTTGATGATTTCATATTCATCAAATTTTCTCCACTACCTTAACTTTTGTTTCAGAAGGGCTGAAGTAGACATTGCAAGATGCCAGATATTCCTGCATGGTCGACTTCAGACCTCTTATGTTTGGCGCGACAGTATCTGGTTCCCGGATGTCATTATTACTGGCATTATAAATGACAATGATACTGGGGTTGTTTAGATTGGGTTAGGAGCAGATGTTCAAACCAGTAGAGGTGTAACGATATGGTGGGGCTGCAACTCAATACGTATCCCAATGCTATGGGTGCAATACAATTCGTATCCAGTCCAGATATAGTACTTTCATTTCATCATTTGATATTCTTTCTTTTTGTACATGAATCATAATCTTGAATCATTTCTTTTCAAATTTCAGAGAGCGAAAATGGTACTACGGAACCTGTGTAAACTGGTTCTTGAACAGCTTCTGTTATTATTCACGTGTTTTTACAACAATATAGCTTGTATTGTAATGTAATGTATTGTATGTATCGCGATATAGGGTCTGTAAATCTATGTATTGTATCATGAGCCTCATAACACAACACAACTGTATTGCTGTATTGTTATAGCACTACCAACCAGCCTATGAACACATCACCATTCATTTCCTTATGATTGCACTCCATGTGACTGAAATACTTCAAACCACAGGTAGGTAGTGTCACTGTGGATCAAATTTGCTCATGTCACGGTTTTAGTGCCGCTCTGTTCCCCGGTTTTATTTCCGGCACTGCTCGGCAAAGTCAGAAAGTCACTATCTTACAGAGTCAGTACCTTCTGTTAGAGATTTAGTGGGGCCCGACCATTTCATTCTCTTGTAATCTAATGGCACTCCCAAACAATGTATTGACTTGATGTATGTTACCTTATTCTTGTATTGAAAATGTTTTTGTGATTTGGATTTGCAAATATTAGGGGAATTTATATGTACACTCAGATAATATTATTTCTCATGTATTTATGATCATTTTTGCCTAATAAATAATTGTACATAGCTTGTTGTAAATCTTGAATGATACCGTTGGATATCTTATGTTCTGCGCTTTATTTTGATACTTACATCTTCAGTATGGATATAGTAGTTAGTTTGCTTTTCATGTTTTCCCCGTGTTTAGAAACACACGCTGGCTAAGCGCCCCTGTCTGTTGTCCCCTTTGATGTCCAGCTGACTTAATTGGCTGTCTACACATCTGGTCGGTATCTTGTCAGAGTGTTGTTTTAGCTTTTCTCATTTTATTACCGTAAAACAGTTGTTCAGCTAAACCGGTTGTATATTTGTGCTGATGATTTTAATCGGTTGTCCTTGTTTGCGCTGATTGTGTTTATCTGATCCTTTATTGACATCTATAAGTACAACTAGCCGTTATTTATACACCTGTGAACTTTTTGAGTTTTCATTATTACTTTATTCTTTTTTTATGACACCCCTGATCATTGGAGCACAGTAGATCAGTAGTTACTCGATATTCCAATAGCAATGGTCTGTGAAACATTCCATCTTGTTATAATGGGCAAAAAGCATTTCTCAAGCATTTCCGCCAGTACTTTGACCATGCATTAAAATTAGACTAGTGGCCAAGTCTGACTGCATTGATGTTGCCAAACAATTAGACAAGCAAGATAAATGTTAAGGTATGTTCTGCTTTTTTAAAAATGCATGACAATCAAATGACAATATGTAGAAGTCCCATGCTTCATATCCTCTAGATAATACACAAGATAAAGGTGTGCCTATACAAAGGAGTAGCTATCCAAATCTTAGACATCAGTCTTATCGAGAATCCATTGCCAAGGGAACACTTGCACAAAGCCATATTAGCACTACCGTAAGTTTATATTAAGATATGAGAGTTATGATAGTCATAACACTATGATAACTTTGTGCAACTGGGCACTGGTCTCCTGAATGGATGATTTGTTTGTTTGTTGTTTAACGCCTCACTCAGCAATATTCCAGCTATATGAAGGCGATCTGTAAATAATCGTGTCTGGACCAGACAATCCTGTGATTAACATCATGAGCATCGATCCATGCAATTGGGATGCGATGACATGCATCAACCAAGTCAGTGAGCCTGACCACCCGATCCTGTTAGTCGCCTTTTACGACAAGCATAGACGCCTTTTACGGCAAGCATGTGTTGCTGAAGACCTATTCTACTCCGGATCTTCACGGATCCCTGAATGGATGAAGTCGGACAGAGGCGGATCAAAATCCACCATTGACAGATGTTCCCCCAAAGGCACAACTACTCCTGGATAATACATGTACAAGAAATCAGTGTTCAGTCTGTTAAATAGCATGCCTACAATGACTTTGGAAATGGTAAAATTGCATGGTCAAGTTAACACTGAAATCTCACTCTGCCTTTTCAGTTTAATATTCAGTTTAGGGCAATGAGAACTGCAGGTGACATGCCTTATGTGAAACAAAGCATTTGAGATTCTGTAACAAGGAGAACTGTTATGTTCATATCCCTGTCACTTCTGATTATATTTTATGAAAGCTTCAATTGATGTACACCGTATATCATTGCATAAAACATCACTTTTGGCATCATTTGTACATGTTGTAATATCTACTGATGTCACCCGATAACCAAACTCAGAAACATACAAACAAACAAAAATCTGACATAAAAGATTCTAAATCTACTTTTCCAACATAAAACTGCCTTGTTAGATAAACGTACACTGAACAATCTTTTTCATCACAATCTTATTCCATCAAAAGTTCACACTTGATCACATTGTGTGACATTATCGTGGACTGCCATCTGTGGATTGGATGTCTGTGGATATTGTATATGGTTAATCAAACTTATGAAAAAGTAAACAGAACACAGCATTTGGGGACTAGAGGCATTCCACTTGCAACATACAAATCTGTTTCCATTAAACAGGCGACTGCAGTGTAGCATGACCTGGTGCATGTGGTGTGCATGTGGTGTGAGTGTTGTGTTCATGATCTATGTGTATTCGTCAATGCAACACTAGCCCACAAGCAAACCTTTAACCCCAAAGATTATGCAAAGATAACAGGATTTTTTAAAAGTCTGCAGTAGTTTGTCTCTGCGGTTTCGGTTGAAAATGTGAAACCTCGAGCTCGGGAAAAGCCCTCAGGTTATGAGTAAGTGAGTGAGTGAATGAGTTTGGTTTAACGCCGCTTTTAACAGTATTCCAGTTATATCGTGGCGTGATAGCAGGTCTCAGACGTTTACCACTTCGGTGAAACCCACGAGCACTGGTATGGTGCTGACAAACCTAGAAACATAATCGGGGCGAATCAGGATTCAAACCCACAATCATAGGTTTCTGGCATGCCCAAGGGACGCAACTCTGCACAGCGAATCGCGGCGCCTTAGACGACTGGGCCACCCGTGCCCCCCTCAGGTTATGAGCAGGCTTTACAACTGTCTTGTTATAACGCGCCAAATGTACATGATGTAAATAGGATTTTTTGTTTAAATTAAACTCTTTTGACGGTTCACGACACCCTTGGTTTTAGGCATGGTTTCTCCTATCAGTTATAACCAATCAGTGTATTCATTTCATATCAGACCAGATACACACATTGTAAGTACAGCGAGCTCATGTCACTGGGTCACAAACTTAGAGAGCAATGATTGATTTGATTCCTTCTGCAATCGTGATAACATTTCCTTCATGAATGCTGATGGAATGGCTGTTGGTACAGAGAGGAGAAAACTTAACCTGCCATTTCAGCACGGAGAAGAAAAGTATTCACCCTAATTGATTAATCTAGTAGTCAACACCATCTAGCCTTTCTATCTAGACCAAACAATCCCATTAAGCTCACCAGATTGACAAAATCCAGAGTGTGATGTCATGTGACTTTGTAGTTGGTATAAATAGGTTCACTATGCTGAGTTTCGTGAGCTCTCAATGTCAGCAAGCATCTGAGAAGAAGGTCCGTAGCTCTATCTCCTGGCCCCTTCATGCCAAAAGACATTAAAAGATGGTACTTGCTGTTACCTAGCATTAGGGGATAAAACAAGGACTTGTCGCCTCAAAGTCAGTATTTGGTATCCATGTTAAACTGCGGCATGGCATCTCAGTGGGCTAGTACTGCCACACCAGCATTAGTACAAACTAGTTAAAGCTACACACAAATGTACTTGTACGCCGCTCTACAAGTACAATAATCTTGAACGTGACTTTAGTCCCATCTTACCTCACCTCAGAAAGCAGAGTAAAAAATATAAATGATACAATGCATGTGTAAACGTCAGTCTATTCAGCTGACAATGGTTTGAGAACTCTTTGATAGCAGTAACAAAACAGTAGGGCTGCAACAAATACCCTATGAGGCGAATACACTTTGTATCATGAATATAGGGTAACGAATATGAATATTAATTCATGAATACAATAACAAGTCAGCAGCTGATGTATAATTTGTTATATTCAGTGAAACAATAACATAAATTATTTGACATGGATGGTTAACTATTATTATATAAAACATTAATATACCTCACTTATCTAGGTACTAGTATCTGCTCAAATGTGACAATGACCAGTGACCACAATACTGTCAAATTAAATATTATAAGAGTGTTCTTTTTAAGAAATCTATGCATATAATATGTTTTTATGAATATTTTTTAGGTACAGGGTATGTAAATGCACATGATTGCATATTCATAAATATTTGATTCTAGTGGCCTGGAATAATGAATTCAATTCATGAATGAATACGGTTCGATTCACCGAATACGCGAGTGAATCGTAACAGCCCTACAAAACAGTACATGTATTTTAAAATATCATTCCACATTCCGTGACACTCCCCATTTCTACTTCGGTGAACGCGATTGGTGTGCAGGACAAGCCTCTACAACACTGGACAGTTGCTATATGAAATCAGTCTCACCTCCTCAATGAAGAGCCAAGGATGGCAATGACTTCCTAAGATGTTGGATTTCTTTAATCCATGTTCAAATATTGCTTTCAACGCTGGACATAACCTGGAAAGAATACAAACAATTAAAATTGAATACATAGGCTGAAAACTATTCATCTTCATCAAGGACATTTGGAAACATTTTTAAATATGGCTAAACATACTGATTATTCATTACGTTAATGTGACCATTACAGGGAAAACTTGATAAACTCAATATCTACATTGATCAATAGATCTTCATCGTCAAGATTTCACAGGTTATGTGTACCCTACATTCCTCCATTACCCATCACTACATACAACCAACTTGATTTTGCACCGTGTGTGTGTGTGTGTGTGTGTGTGTGTGTGTGTGTGTGTGTGTGTGTGTGTGTGTGTGTGTGTGTGTGTGTGTGTGTGTGGTGTTGTGTGTGGTGTTGTGTGTGGTGTGTTGTGTGTGTGTGTGGTGTGTGTGTTGTGTGTGTTTAACAAAATATAATACTCCCTCCCCAAAACCAAGTGAATTTTGTAAAGTCTTGAGAAAGAAGAATATTTTTTTTAACTGCCCTAATCAGTAATGTGGTATTGACTGATACCTGACAATAAGTGTTAAAAACTAATCTCAGTAATTATACCATGTTCACTTGAGATGTTGTGTTCAAATGTTGAATCACAAGCTGCAGTGATGGAATTACTACATGTATTAGATAACACATTAGGCCAAGAAGGCTAACAGACTTCTCTCCCTTGAATTGAATTCATGAAATGTGCTTGCTCTGCTTATGGTAGTATTTAGTATAATAGTATTTAGAGTGTTCCAAACTTCTTTTCTTGGCACATTTTAATGTCAGTATCTTTATCTACATGCATCAGAGGATAGAACTATTTTATGGTATTAGAAGAAAATAGGAAATGTATCACCTTCAGGAATCAGAATATTTAGGATACACAGTAACATAACTAAAAAAAAGCATAGCTTCATGGTACCATGCTTGTTGGTAGGGATACACTGAATTCAATGAGCTATGATTTCGCATTAAAAGTCCTCTCGGATTTGGATTCAGGTCATTCATTATCTCCTTCCATGCCCAAGATCCCAAGATCCATACGCCCGTGGGGATGCTGGGATAGAATAGGCCCCTAGAAACCTATGTTGGTCGTAGGACTAAATGGATTGGGTGGTCAGGCTCATGACTTGGTTGATGGCATGTCAATGTACCCAAAAGCCGTGGATCGTTGCTCCTACTATAAATTACTTGACTGTCTGGTCCGAACTCAATTGATTACAGGCTGCTTCACTTCAAAACAATTTCCTCGCAAGAATTTTTTTCCCTAAATCCAACATATCTGATCAATTGCACAAGCATTCATATGCAGGGCTCGTACCATGTCTTTAAAATCGAACTTGTCCTGCAGGGCAAGTAGATATTATTTTGTACTCATCCTACAATATTCTCACTTGCCCTATTAAATTTTATATAGTTTTATGTTCTCTGTTATTACATAAGAAATGTGGCTACTTACGTCCCTCTGACCAGATCCGTGACAGCCTCTGTCACAGAGTCATCCCCAGCTGAAGAGTAGTGCTTACTCCTCTCATCCAGAATCTCCACAAACTTGGCCGGGAACCATCCTCGCAAACCATTCAGTTCCCCGATCCAACAGTGTTCATCCTTCTGGGAAATGATCTGAACAAAGTGTGTTGGGTTAAATGGATGTAGTTAATGGATGATGATATATGCTCTTTTTGTGTCTCTGAATCTGAAAACTTATACCATGTGCATGTAGAATGCGTTTTTGTAAAAGAATTTTGGTTAGAAAATGAAATGTACCTGAACTCAAAACTTGTATATGATATTCATATTACCATTCTGGATAACTTATTTTGCTACAACAAAAACAACTATCTTTGTAACCATATAATTCTTCTTGCAAAAAAATGCATTCACCAGTCAAGCATTGAGAAAAATCTATTATGCTTCCTTTTCTTCATTAACATATTGAAAGATGTATGTAAAGTAGAAAATATTATCCCAATGAACATGATGAAAAATAGACGCATTAATAAATTCGACAGAAAATGGAAGGATTTATCAGCCTATTTAATATAATTTATCAGTCAATCCAATATATCATGATATATGTATATACCCATATCTGATCATGTTTTAAGATTCTATGAACTGCTACACTTATATACCTCATGTAACAATGTTACATTCATGTCTACTGAATTGAAATAAACATATTCTTTTTTAAAAAGTGTGTTGGGTTATACATGTTACGAGCCACTATAAACAGCATCACAGTTTCCTGACAGCATGTCAGCTTAATGTGGGAGAAAAGCCCAAAGTGATGCAGGTCACAGACATTTACCACTTTGGTGACAACAGACAGATCAAAGTCATATATGGTGAAATTTCATTTGATCTGTTTAGCCTAATGGTTTGTGATTCAGCACAGACAGTTGTGATACCTCAAAACACTATGCCACTCTTGTCCCTGATTTAAACATATAAAAGATTGTTTAAACATGGTCAGTTCTGTAGATATCAAATGTAGGAGCAGGAGTGTAACTTAAGGACTTCAGGAAAGAGGAAACCTAACACTTCACTTTTCAAGAATAATCCAGTATCAACCCACTTAGAAACTGAAAATCTGCATTAAGCAGGTGCACAAAAATCTATCCTCAACTCAACACTGCATTGAAATCTACCGTTTAACATATAACTTATTATAATGATGATGCTTCAACAGATCTCATAAACATCTATCCAAAGAATAGAAAGTAGAAGACACATCCTGCCAAAATTGTGAGGGAATTAGTGCAAGCAGTGATGATGGTGGATCTAGGAATGGTGGCCTCAAAGCTTGCTGCAGTATCCACTCATCCCTTCATCATTTATCAGCAGTTCTATATGCCGCAACTGGAGCTAGGAATCAAGCAATTAGAAAGTGTGCCAATGTGCACTGTAGGATTTACAACACACTTCTATATCTCCAAATGGCTACAAATCACACAATATTTATAAAAGCTATATACCAATCTCATTCTTGACTTTTAACAGTAACAGCATTGTTAACCCCGAAGCCTGGTACTTACTGTGATAATGTCATTCTTTCTGAATCCCAGCTCATCATCATCGTGACGTTCAAAGTCAAGCAGTGCCTTGGCCCGCCTCCTCCTATTGCGGGCCACGTTCACATAGTTCTCCAGGTCCTTGGCATGGCTGTCCATGGTGTAGTCAGCCTGCAGGTTCTGCAACACACAACACCTGTACTTGCACACTTGAAATATCTAAAAAAACATCTGCGATTGATATGATTAAATTATTTGAAGAAATAAAAATATTTTATATTAAATTACTGGAAGATAAACATTTGTTCTTCTTGAATAATACAATAATATCACTATACTAAAACTCTACTAAATATTTACTACACCAAGTTTTGCACAGACCAATATATATTTATCTGGCATGTCTCACTTACATTTTGAAAAACTAAAATGCTTTGTTTGTTTGAAAACCCAATTTCATTAAAATTAGATCTTTTACACTGATACGATACTTCCATAAGACACCTCCATAGGTACTCATTTCAGATGAACTTTCTACTTAGCCAATCAGCGTCGAGGCTTCTTAATTCTTGGTATGAGTGCATGAGGCATTCAGATCAGCATATATGTTCTGATTTCTGTATCTCGAAATGAGTTAAGACAACCTTTCCCTAATGTACCTAATGAGGGCCATGCCATTATATTGTTGTGAGTATTTTATGCATCCTGTCGCTTCTGAGATCCATGGCATCTACACCCAAAAGGAAGTATGATTAAAGCACTTAAGGAATGATTGTGTCTTACGTGAGTTTTCTTTTCATGAAAATCAAATTTCCATATCAAGGTGGCAAAAAAAGAATTGAAGCCAGATATTTTTAGAAAGCTGACATCTGATTGTCTCTAGAATCCACATATCCTTCCTTTAGACTGGGTGGTCAAAGTTTACTCAGGGGCACCTGACATGACCTTCTTTGGAGGTGTGCTCAGATCTTGATGCATATTGGAGTTTCACATTTTAGTGGTTGAAATTCTATGAATGAAACCTTTGAACTGCCAGTTGTCCTAAGGTAAAATTCTCTTGCCAATTTCGCAACCGTAAAATCCCAAACAACTTCAGTCACCACAATGTGAAAAAGTGCTGTTTGTGAAATCTTATTGTTGCTTGAGCAACATTTCCTTTGACCATAAAAATTGACTTAGTTTTAATAAGGCAGCACCCAAACATCCATTCCATACCACTGACACAGCCCACTGTTGTTCAGCTTCTTACCTAACCTATTTTGTCATTATGCTTCTAAACTAACTGAACCATCATCAAGTACATAATGGCAATGGTAATTCTGAATGTAAATATTACTTTACTTAAAGAATAATATTGCTAATACTAAATATAGATGTTACCTCACAAAAACACTTTCAAACAATGGTGATGGCCATTTTATATGTAAATATTACCGGTACCATACACAGGCCCCCATACACAAACAATAACATTGGTGACATACCATGTACATATTACTCCACATAGGCATCTGGTGATTTTAAACCCTGTGTCAAGATTATGGCTCTTACTTTCAAGAAATGAATCAGATAGGCACATACAGGTATATCAGCTTGATATAATCCTGCAGTCCTGTCACTGAGAATAAGACTCATTGTAAAGTCGAGATTGTGGAAAGTCTGGTATACTTACAACTTTGTTATTTTTGGGGTCCAGTGATTGGAAGTGACGAGCAACCTGGAGGATGGCTTCCCGCAAGTCTACCAGTAACTCTGTTTGGCGAATGTTTTTGGCTTTTCCAAAGTCTTCATCCTCTGATTCTCCTCTGAGCAGGACCGAGACGAGGGATCGAGAACGTTTTAGGTGTCGCTTGTTCAGTTGCTGTAAATGAAACAGGAAGTTTCTCTTTCAAAGCCAGGTAGTAAGCTCACGAAAACACATGCACTGCACAGAGAGGCACATGTGACCCAGTCATCTAAACCACTGCAAGTCTCTGTGCACAGTTTCATCCCTTAGTGATGCCAGAAACTTAGAATCATGGGTTTAAATCTCAGATTTGCCCTGATGTATCTAAGAGCTGCTTTATGCAAAAACAAGCTCACATTGTTGTACTAATTTTAGCTTCAAACAGGATTCTACTCTCGAAAGTCCATGGTTGGCAACATACAGTCAAGTCTCGTTAATCCGACATCGTTGGTTGCACATGATTGTGTCGGATTAACGAGTATGTCGGATTAACGAAATTAAGTGATTTGTGATCGAAAATCGGACATCTTCACGATAGAAAATAACCGTGTGTTTCCTCGTGTAAATGCAAGTGCTACTGTCTTAACAACTTGCTTCATCTACTTAAAATAGTTTGTCAGTGTTTTCTGTTTCTCACATTTTGAAGGCACATTTCTCAAAGTCCCCTGCTCACTTGACGTCTAGGGCTGGTGGTTCTTCAGCATCAACATTGTCGAGGTGTAATTTCATTTGTTTCTTATAATTAAGCTTGAAATTCTTTATGATCCCGGCATCTAGTGTTAATTGTTAAAGTTAATCTCTGCAGCCAGTGCGTGTCAAAACACGGGGTTGTGTACTCGCGGGCAGATGACCACGGAGTACGCTGACCACTGTGTCGGATTAACGAGACTGATAAATGAGTGATTTCGGTAATTCGTTGCAAATTAGGTGTGTCGGAGTCGGAGTGCGAGAATGTCGGATTAACGGGACTAAATAGCGCTGAATCAATCGTTTCCCATCATTTGTGTCGGATAAAGCCGAGTGTCGGATTAACGAGTGTCGGATTAACGAGACTTGACTGTACATCCAATTAGCTTGGGTGGTTCAAAAATATAAATATTTGTTTGCAGCTTAATCTTTTTTCAAATTTTATTCAGGATGAAGTGATGAAGCCAATTTAGCTGGGAAAGAGAAATGCTAAGATTGTCGAAAGGACAGGATGTTAAGTATATTTACAGAAATGTGTATTCATCTATAAAAACGTTTGTTGTCTTCAGTGTCACAAATTGCATACAACATGTAAAATGCATTTTATAAAATATTATATAAAATGTTAAGTTACTTTAAATTCATATTATATTGTATTGTTGATAATTTTATCATCAGTCAAGCATGTTAAAGTTGGGCAAACAAAAATATTGCTAAATGCTGCATCAGCAATCTTCTAGCTGTTCGCTGTGAGCTAACAAAAATATCTTGAACATATTTTATGTTCAGTAATGAATGTGGCCTTTGGCTGTGGTTGGTAGAATCTGCCAAAAAAAGTGTTGCCTTCTGTAATTAAAAAAGTCAGCAGTATTGAACAATTTTGATTGACCACTGTCATCCAATATCCAACTGATTAGCAAAGTGAGTGAGTGAGTGGGTTTAACGCCGCTTTTAATAGTATTCCAGTAATATCACAGCATCTCAGCTTAATGTGGGAGGAAAGCCCGAAGTGATGCAGGTCTCAGACGTTTACCACTTCGGTGAAACCCATGAGCACATGTATGGTGCTGAGAAACCTAGAATCATAATCGGGGCGAACCGGGATTTGAACCGACAATCATAGGTTTCTGGCGTGCCCAAGGGACGTAACTCTTAGACGACTGGGCCACCCATTCCCCACGATTAGCAGAGATAGATATCTTCATAAGTAACTTTTTATTCTTAGTTATTCTCAATTCTCAAAACTGTTTTCCTTATAAATGACACATTCAACTGCTGCAACGGACCTGTTTTGGCAGGTTCCTGGATGACTCTGGGTTGACCAGTGCACCCTGGTCAGCCATCAGGTAGGCCAGGTGTTTCCGCCTGTGTGTCTCCACCACGACATCAGTCAAGGATCCAGCAGTCCGGAAAGCCACCTGCAACATATCCAACATCGCCATCATAAACTTGTGTACAATCATATAAATCAACTTTCTATTTGAGGGAACTGATAGGTATCTGTAATAGACATCATCATCCATCTTCTCTACATATATAATGTTACACCATCATCATATCACATTATCACATTCATGACTTGTGAATACATTGTACAGGAAACAGAACAATAGGAGAAACGACCCTTTCATTTTATGTATGGCATTGCAGAAACAATGAGAATCACATTGGAATTCATGAAATAAGTGATATGAGAAGGAGGAATAAAAAATAAAAAACACTGTATCTAACACGCATAGGCCAGGTATATTATTCAGATTATAGATAACATGTCATCAGCTATCTATTTATAATACCATAGAACATGGCTATAACCAACACAGACATAACATGAAAACGGTTATAATTAATTAAAACGTCTCAACTGCTTTACCAGTGTACCCACTGGCTCATTTAACTGGCAACTCTAAAAAACACCAGTCCCCTCCATTTCTTTTCAGTCCCAACTTTGAACAAATAAATAAATATATTTTCCACATATTTTATTGTCTCTTTTCCACAAGTTTCTTTTTTCAAATAAAATTTTGGTTAAGCATTTGTGATTCAGTATGCCCTAAAGTAATAAAATCTGTAAAGTTGCTATGTTCAGTTCACTTGCCACGAAATGTATGCAAGTGACTATGACCACAAACAGGGACCGGGCTTGTTGTGAGATGAAGCGTTAACTTTATAGGACATCCCTAACAGCTGCCATATATGGAGCCTCCGCTGTATTTTTTAAATTGATTGGGACTAAGTACCCAGTGCGCTTATTACGGCAAATACAGTAGGTCAAGGTTGACTGGATGATGGAGGTAAAGTCAGCAACAACAGTTGACACTCTGATTAATTGTAACAGCTGTCTCAGCATGTTCAGACTTACAATGCAGTTGCTGTGTCATCATGTCAGAATAATACTGCACCACACTGCATAAAACACACGCATGCACACAATGCACACACAAACATGAACCATGCCTCATGAAATATTTTCACTGGGGACATAAACATGATAAACTGGATATTAAATTGAATCATGCATGATTTCCTATAAATACAAAGTGCAGTTTTCCACACTCAGACTTGACATGAGTACAACATTTGTACAACTGAACTAGTGAATGTTGTTTTGCCCCAGTCAGCACATCCTTGAGTATTAATTGCCAATCCTATTATAGCTTCACTGTGGAAGTGACGTCACCAGCTTTATTATCATTAACATTTTTTATACAGAATTTCTCTCGCTCTTGAGCTTAAAATCAACAACCAATCAAACTACATCCTCGGAATGAGAGGCATAGATCTACATTAAAATGACAGTCTCATTTGTGCAAGCCCTTGTTAGATTGATTTGAATCAGAAGGCTGTTATAACTGAATTTTATCCAAAAAAGATGTTTCCCTAAGTACAAACAGAAAGGGAGGGCTGTCTTTCTGTTACAGGACATTCCAGTTGTATTTGAGATGGTACGCTGATATCACCACTTCCTTTTATCATGATCAATGGTGTGGTTTGATTGGACATTTATTTAGCACTGTGTCATTCGCACTGAACTCAAACGGTTTCTTGGATATTTATTAATGGAGACATAATCATGATAATACACCAGATAACCAGGCGGTGGGGTAGCCGAGTGGTTAAAGCGCTCGCTTGTCACGCTGAAAACCCTGATTTGATTCCCCACACCAGCACAATGTGTGAAGCCCATTTCTGGTGTCCCCCCTCCCATGATATTGCAGGAATAATGCCTAAACCATGCGGCATAAAACCATACTCACTCACTCACCCACTCACTCACTCACTCTGTATGCTCAGGGTAAATAACAAACATCACAAAATTTTGTCAATAAGAGTATTTTTCCGCTCAACAATGTTGACTGCTTAGTCTGCATTTTAGCAGTCGCCATGCTCTGGAATTATGGCAGTGTCTTCAAATCGTCATGCAGAGAGATGTCATAGGATGCCATCTGATTCTCATGAGATTAAAGACAAGGAAGCAAACTGTGACCACCTGAACCCCACTTTAGTTGACTCTTATGTAACATAACCTAGCTTGGTATCTAGCCAATTTATTACATTTTATTATAATGTATTATGAATGTTGAATAATATCGAAATCGTAATTAAATATTTATCTCATTCTATTTGTGTTTCTTGGGTTGTTCCATTGTATGAAATAGGTAACAGACTAGGGATAAGCAGTGCCATGGACCGTGAACTTTGTTGTCTTAAGCTGTAGGGGAAATGGGATGTAGGGGTTTTGGGAGGTTACCTAGCCAATGGTTGAAAGAGAGCAAGACTCACTGCCACCTTGTGACAAACTACAACAGCATATCAACAAATCCTGTCCACCATCACACACAAGTTCATCTCAATCATAAGCAGATAAGAACAACCCATGCCATCAGGGTACAGTGTCACACAATCAGCCAGGTGACTCACATTGTAACCATCTACTTTTCTCACAACTCTTACAACCAGCATGGGGTACTGCGGACTTATCCTGCCCTAGACTTCCCACAGGATAAACACCAAGAGTTAAAAAATAACACAAGTCTGTTAGTCCTAGAGTAATAAAATACATGAAGGACTATGACATTCCCCTGTGGACAACAACAGTTACAATTAGGTAGATGCACTCTCAATTTTGGGTACAAGTGAAAATACAATTAATTTTTAACTGAATGGTGTACTGTCGATCTATTCTCTGCACAGAATAATAAACAGGCCTGTACTTCAGCATGGGGAAATATAGACCTATTCTCCTCACAGAATAATAAACAGGCCTGTACTTCAGCATGGGGAACTATCGACCTATTCTCCTCACAGAATAATAAATAGGCCTGTACTTCAGCATGGGGAACTATCGACCTATTCTCCTCACAGAATAATAAACAGGCCTGTACTTCAGCATGGGGAACTATCGACCTATTCTCCTCACAGAATAATAAACAGGCCTGTACTTCAGCATGGGGAACTATCGACCTATTCTCCTCACAGAATAATAAACAGGCCGTTACTTCAGCATGGGGAACTATCGACTTATTCTCCTCACAGAATAATAAATAGGCCTGTACTTCAGCATGGGGAACTATCGACCTATTCTCTGCACAGAATAATAAATAGGCCTGTACTTCAGCATGGGGAACTATCGACCTATTCTCCCCACAGAATAATAAATAGGCCTGTACTTCAGCATGGGGAACTATCGATCTATTCTCTGCACAGAATAATAAACAGGCCTGTACTTCAGCATGGGAAACTATCGACCTATTCTCCTCACAGAATAATAAATAGGCCTGTACTTCAGCATGGGGAACTATCGACCTATTCTCCTCACAGAATAATAAACAGGCCGTTACTTCAGCATGGGGAACTATCGACCTATTCTCCTCACAGAATAATAAACAGGCCTGTACTTCAGCATGGGGAACTATCGATCTATTCTCCTCACAGAATAATAAACAGGCCTGTACTTCAGCATGGGGAACTATCGACCTATTCTCCTCACAGAATAATAAATAGGCCTGTACTTCAGCATGGGGAACTATCGACCTATTCTCCTCACAGAATAATAAATAGGCCTGTACTTCAGCAGGGGGAACTATCAGCCTATTCTCCTCACAGAATAATAAATAGGCCTGTACTTCAGCATGGGGAACTATCGACCTATTCTCTGCACAGAATAATAAATAGGCCTGTACTTCAGCATGGGGAACTATCGACCTATTCTCCTCACAGAATAATAAATAGGCCTGTACTTCAGCATGGGGAACTATCGACCTATTCTCCCCACAGAATACATAGGCCTGTACACCAACCTGAAATTCAACCGGTGGTGCTGGCACATGAGGATAGGGCCTCTTGTAGTGTAGAACCAACTTTTCATCCTGCACGCCACTATGGGAACTCCCAGGTGCCACACTTGGACACAACATGATGTTAAATGGATAACATATGTTGATGTGAAATCACGACGGTTGAATATACAGTTTCTCATGCACTATCACATGATGAATCAAATGCAGAAAAAACACCAGGGATATCTTATTCCAGATCATCTATTTGTCAGATTGCCTTGTGTCAATCAGTATACATAGCATATATGTATCAGTAAACCTATGCTTGATAAGCCACATATTCCAACCAATACGCAAGGCAATTATTACTAAGTGTCATTCTGTACCAGCTGGTGCAATTGATTTTCTTGATAAGCTGAATATCTACATGCCATTCCCACTGTGCTGTTAGCCTGACAATAGGATAATTGTGAGTTAAGTTACAGTGATTTAGGTCCTATGTCTAAGATTAAAGTCTGTTTCAATTAATAACAATGAGCAAAAGCTGTGAAGATGGATTATTACCCATGTTTCAAATAGAATTATTCAATGTCAAACCTTGAACAGATTCATTTCATAACAGTTAAGTACAAGAATATTGGAACAGAAAGCAGCTTCAGTATTTTTCCATGGATAAAGGGACCTACTTTACAAGCCACATTAATCTCACAAAAGTCAAGCTTCATTATTGCTGACTGCAGTAAGTGAATTTTGCAAACATGGCGAACACAGTCAATAAGCTAAAGTTAAATCAACATGTCAGATCAAGGTCAATATGAGTTATGTCCCTTTGGTGTACCAGCACCCTGTGATCATTAGGGCAACGAATCGATATGAAGCCAATACAATACATGTCACGAATATAGGGTAACGATTACGAATATTTATTCACTAATACAATAACAAGTCAGCAGTTGATGCATTCTTTATTATATTTTGAAAAACAACAACAAAATCAATTATTTGACATTATCTGACATTGATGACAGTGCAGATTCATGGTTGCAATGAGATACGGTGATCCATTGCTACAATGCTACCTTTGGGGTCCAAATAACTGATGAGTGTTATAGAAGGATCAGCTGTTTAACCGAGGAGTT